TTTTTTATTTTTTTTTTTTTTTTTTTGGTTAATTGCATTGACTAATGCCTCCTGTACATTGTTAAATAATAATGGTAGTGGTGTGTTCCTTACTTTAGTGGGCATGAGGCATCATTCTGTGGATTTACTGTAGTTATTTAGCCACACCCACACCATGAAACTGTTAGCTTGTTGTCAGTTATTCACCACTGTTTGGCAATTTGATGAGCACTTTTATGTAAGTCCTTTCTGTGCTTGACATTAGTTCTTCGGATAAATTTCAAAGACTCCTGATACACATTGCCAAATTGTTAGAATATACTTTTATAATGAGCTGCTTTTTATTAGCACTCTATCCGGCACTTATACTTTCACATGCAGAAAATAGAAAGGTCCTTGCCCTTTTCCCGTCTCCTGCATTAATAGCAAGCAGAAGGAGCAGGGACTGAGCAGCTGAGAGGGATGCTTTTGGCTCTTCTGGTTTAGGCATAGGCTGCAAAGGCTGCATGGATCCTAGGGGACTGCTCTTTGTGGTGTTAGAGTTTGGATTGACAGATTCCTGTGAGTGTGGTAGTGTACACGTGAGGTTAGATGAGCCATGCCACTGTGACTGTCCAGCTGGGACAGGAATTCAGAGCTGGCTGATGCTCACAAAGGGCCTAGGGAGCCAGCTGAGAGGCGTATGCCTGTTTCTTCGAGACGCGCTGTCCTGCCACAGGTGCTGGGGCAGAGGATCACTTCTGTTGCTAGGCTCATGCCTCTCAGCTGGGACAGGAATTCAGAGCTGGCTGATGCTCACAAAGGGCCTAGGGAGCCAGCTGAGAGGCGTATGCCTGTTTCTTCGAGACGCGCTGTCCTGCCACAGGTGCTGGGGCAGAGGATCACTTCTGTTGCTAGGCTCATGCCTCTGGAAATCAGCTGAGAAAAATGTGTGCCATTTGAGTCAGCAGCCATGGCCAAAACGTAGGCATCTGGAAACTGAAGGAGTGCTAATGCCATTCTTACTGAACACTTCCTACCACATCATGGGCCGTTCTCTCTAATACTTCTATTGTAGACTGGATGAACTATCTGCCGGGGTTCTTGATCCAGCATCTTGAAGGGTTCAGCAATCTGGAGAAGGGCTGTGTGTAACTTAATAAAGAGTCCAGAGACGAAGCATAATTTTGAAAGGCATTTGGTGGTCATTAGCTAAAAGGAACTAAGTTCTCCTCGTCTCAGGACCCCATGCTTTTTATGAACACAATTTGTCCTAAGGCAAGGTAGAGATATACACATCAAAGGGTAGAGTTTCCGTATACATAGTCCATTGTCAGATTATCAGGTTTTGGAGAAACTGCCTTCGACTGTTCAGGTGTTTGGCCAACAGGGGGCAATAACATGTAGATTGAGATGCCCTTAGCTGTCTGGTAGCAAGCAATCATCCTTTTCAGGTTTGGGGAAATGCCCTTCAGCCACTCCAGATTCAGCCCTGCTGTCTGGAATTGGCTTCCCGCACTATCTGGATGAAATTTAGCCTAATCATAGATTTTAAGATTGTTTCTGGAATTTCCCCCCTATATATGTGAATGTTTTTGATATTAGAGTGTTTTCCTGTGTTGAAGATTCTGAACATAGTTTGCAAGAGTTGCATGGTGATAACTCTGAATATTCCTTTTATAGTTTCAGATGCTTCATCAAGATGAATCAAATAAAAGAGAAAAGGTCAAGACAAAGGGAGTTGACTTTGAAGATGACCTGCGAGATGAGGTGGAAGATGCAGTTCAGAAAGTTTGCAATGCGACTGGCTGTTCAGTTAGTATTTCTGTCACACAGTGGCCCTGGTTTATAAGCAAGCGTTGCTGTGTCTAGTTCCCCTGCTAGTTTTGTAGCACCATTAGCATGCCAACACCTGATGGGCCAAAACAGGTCCATATGCTATTTGTAGTTTGATGAGGTGGTGTGATACGACTTAATGAGAGCTGTTCATTCATTTCTCTCCTGTTTGCTAGACTTTACCCAATACTGCTCAAAATCCTAAGGAAGTATGTGGATTTATTTTTTTCTGATTCGTGTTTGTACAAGTAAAAGCATTTTAAAAGGGAATTAATTTATATTAATTGGTTTTTCACATGACCAACATTATTGAAAATTGACATTTTCTAAATGGAAAAGGTCTTGAAACCTTGTCTTAATCCTCATTATTACATTATTTTGTTTACCAAGTTATTGAAGTAGAGAGAGAGAGGAAAGTGTTCCTAGAGTCTTGAAGTGTTTCTTTGTTTCTTGGATAGGATTTTAATTTGATAGTCCAGAACCTGGAAGCTGAAAATTATAATATTGAATCTGCAATAATTGCCATGCTTCAGATGAACCAGGGGAAAAGAAATAGTAAGTCCATGATTGATATTTATAAGCTTTCAAAATGATTGTATTGGTGATTTTTGATCATTATTGGTGATTTCTCAAATATTGATGTTGAATCAAGTTACAGGTAGTAATTATTCTGTCCTTTCCCTCACTCATTCAGCACTTTACTAGGTTCTCATCCTGCATCTGGAAGAGTGTAGTCCAGGGTGGGGATGGGGATGAGGGTGGTGGAGACAGATAAGTAAACTGGCACAGTAATACATAATGGAGTTGCAGGTACAAGGTGCTAGGGGAATGCGTGAAAAGGCCACCTAACCCAGTTTTGGAGGGATGGTGGGATGGAGAGTGTCAGGGAAGACTTTATCCTTTTAGAAATAAGATTCCTTCATAAAATCAAAATGATAATTAAAATTGAACGGAGAGAAAAATACTTTATTTTTCTAATGGAAATATTTAGATTGCTAACATCTGTCAACTGGTGCTAATTCAGAATTATTTTTACTTTAACTGAGTTCACTTTTGTGACACAGAGGAAAGCAAAAAGATGTGATGTCTTAACTGTTTTCTCAAATCATTTATTTAAATGATTTCCAGCCCGGCCGGTGTGGCTCAGTGGTTTAGCATCGACCTATGAATAGGAGCTCACAGTTTGATTCCCAGTCAGGGCGCATGCCCGGGTTGCGGGCTTGAGCCCAGTGTGGGGTGTGCAGGAGGCAGCCGATCAATGATTCTCTCTCATCGTTGATGTTTCTATCTCTTTCTCTCCCTCCCTTACTCCCAAATCAATAAAAACATATTTAATAAAATGATTTCAAGACTTACTATGTGCCAGATACTGTTCCTGGCATAGTTTTCTATGTGATGGGGCATTTTATTATCCACTTTATATATACGCTGTGCCTTTTTAGAAAGCAATAGATAACTTGGTCTTTGAGACTAAAACAACACTGTTCAGTGTCTGTGCTGTCTAGTATGTTGTGTATTCGACATGTGGCTGAGACTGAAGAATTAAATTTTAAGTTTAACTTAAATGGTCACATGTAGTTAGTGGCTCCTCTACTGTATGGCACATTTTTAGAGCCTGTTTTATTTTTGGCTGCAAATGAAAAATTTCCCCCTAAATACTTATATTAAGAAGTGGTTTGTCTAATGAAACAAAACAGTCTGCTGGTGGGAAGCTGATGGCAAGGTTGGTCAGCAGGTTACTGTTAAACTTACCTTCCAAGTTTTACCAATATTTTCCCCTGTGTTCCCTGCTGTATTGACTTGATATTAGGAAACTTGCTCTCCAAATGACAGTGAACGAGGGACCCAGGTACTCTTGGAGTCATTTAACAAGAATCGAGTTGTGTAACTCTTAGGTTCTCAGTTTTAATAAAATGTCTTTCTTTGGAAGATGCAGAGGAGAACCTCGAGTCCAGTGGCCGAGTGCTGAAGCAGAGTGGTCCTTTATGGGAGGAGGGTGGCAGTGGCTCCAGAATCTTTGGAAATCAGGGCTTAAATGAAGGCAGGACTGAAAACACTAAGGCGCAGGCCAGCCCTAGTGAAGAAAACAAAGCAAATAAAAACCACCTCCCAAAGGTATGGAAGAGGGTCGCAAGGGCAAAGGGTGGGCTGCTGTAATTTGGTGGCAGTGGTGGGAACGTGGAGCTCATTTTAATGTGTCATTTTCTTTCAATTTATAAAGTAGTAATTGTAGGAAATATGGGGAATGCATAAAGGTGTAGCAGGAAACGGAATGAAGATCTCGTTTGTCCTGTTTGGCGTACGCAGTGATGATGAAGGAAGTGCATGCTGGAATTGTACTTTGTGGACACATCCAGCCCTTCCCACCTGACGCCACTGTGTGGATGGCTGCTTTCCACGGGAATTCACGCTGTCACATCCCATTTTTATAAATACCGTCATCTGCAGTGAACACTTGCATAGTTTATTTGTATGAATCTGTATTTTGCATTGCTTTCTTGGCTAGAGTCCCAGAAGAGGGCTTGACAGGTTAGGGGGCATGGATATTTGAAAAATTTAAAGGCTTCTTGGTAAATTGTCAAGAAGTTGTACATCTTCCTCCCCCCATGCCCACAGGTAATATATGACACCATTTTAAGGACTTTCACAAGAAGTTCTGAGCTCAGAATGCAGCATGAGGTAAAAAGCTACAGGCAGAGGCAAAAATGTGGAGTGAGTTAGGATCACCTGAGCATTAAACTGCAGAGGAAGGTGACATGTGGCCTGTTTGCGGGTTGTCTCTTGTTGGACCAGGGTTCATCTTTTTTAGGTCATTTTGAATTGGTTTATGAGGAGAATGGGATTGATTGTGTTTGCTAGCTCAGCAAGGGGCTATACATTTAAATGGAAATTTGAGCAGTAATGGAAACCACATCATGTTTGGTCTGGTAGGTGGGTTTTCTCTGTTCTGTCTTGTTGAAAGGCGGCTGTGCTCTTTGCCTCTGTCAGCCCCTCACCTCCTTCCGCAGACGGCTCACCCAGCACCTTCTCTTTCAGGTCACAAACAAGCAGCGCCGAGAGCAGCAGCGCTTAGAGAAGAAGAAGCGGCAGGAGGAGCGGCACCGTCTCAAAGCCCTAGAGAGCAGGAGCAGCCACAGGGACAACAGGAGCGAAGCGGAGGCCAGCGAGCAGGTCACCTTGGTGAAGACCTTCGCTGCTCTCAACATCTGACGCCACTGCCTGCGGGAGTCGTAAGAAGCGAGTGGAAGTGGCGTGCTGTGCCCCGACTTCCCAGGAGGCGGGCCTTCGGACCACCCACAGAACCCACCCAGGAGCGCACCCTCGGAGTTAGTGTCCTCAGGCCGCCTCTTTTTCTGTCAACGTTTTGTTAGTGATGTGTTTTATTTTATGAAAGTTCAGTGAAGCCACTCATGTTCTGTGATTAAAAGGTTGAGTTTTAGGGTGGAGAGTAGATCAGGGAAAACCTTTTAGGTATGGTTTGATTTGTTCTGAAAACAAGAGTTCTGTGACCCTGGGATCTTCCCTTAACCTTTGGGGTGAGTTTTACTGAAATTGTTCATGAAGTGGTTTAGATTAATTGTTAGAAATGCAGAATGACAAGTTTCCTTTGATTCTCTCTCATTTTCAAACAGATATGTTAATATACAGGATAGTTTGTAAATGATCCGCAACTCAGGAACGTGTTTAGGTTTATTTTTCTTTTAATCCAAGTTAATCAGAAAATACTTCAGGAAGTGTTCTCCCAAAGTGATGTGAGGGAGGGTGTGGCCTGCAGTCCGGGGGGAGTAAACTGCCTCTCTCCTTCCCGATCTGATGTCATTTCAGACGGGACGCAGGTGCTGCTAGTTCCTTTACACTCAAGCCATACGATACATGCGCCTGACTGTTAATTAAGCCTGGGCTTTGCTGCAGAATCGATAGTGTTGTTGAGCTTTTGGTACTTGTTTTTGGAAGATGGGAAGATAATAAAGTTCTGGGATTCTGACAGTATGGAGAGTTGTAAAGGGAGAAATTGAGGGGCCCTTGAGTGTTTGCCTGGGAAGAGTCTAAAGAGTTATTTGACTTGTAGGAGAGAATGCTGGAAGAATATCTAAGGTTTTTCACCTTCACATTGTAAATAACTGTTTCCTTCCCCACTTTTCTAGACTTAGCTGCCTTCAGAAAAATAAAAGGTAACTTGGCCTGTTGCTAAGTTTTTTAGTTTTGTGAAAATGGAATCCCATAAAATGCTGCATTGATTTTTCTTTATACAAAACCCTTTGGGATTCTGACGTTGGCAGAACTCTCCAGCGCCCATCCAGACTGTCAGGGAGTTGGGTGGGACCAGCAGGGCAGAGGGTGTGCTTTGGCTGAGGACTCTGGGTGACTCGGTGGTTCTGAGTGAGACAGATCTGAGCAGTGGAGAGCCGTCATTCCTAAAACCGACTTAGGTGGATATGAACTTTAAAACTGACGTCGGAAGTGGCCAGTCTTGGACAGTCTTTGGCTTTGGGGGACCTAATATTTCAACAAATAAGGTATGCTGAATCAAAAGGTGAATTGTTACCTCCCCCACCTCAGATCTCAAAGGCCCGAGGCAAGGAAACTATGAGACAGTACTGACCTGTGTAGGCATATCGCCTGGGCTGGCCCTGGATTCATCCAACTGTCTGTCAGGGTGGTTTGCTTTCTTCAGATTAATGATGTTTTAAATTTTTGCTTTTTTTCTTTGTGGTTGGAGCAACAGTTGTCTCTAGGAATTGCTCCCAGGACATTATGGTTTGGGCATCTTCCTGGTACAATACATCGTAGTACTTAGCAGGCTGCGAGGCTGCACAGTCTTTTCCCTTGTACCTTGTGGAGTCCTGAGTGTGAGCGCTAGAGCTCAGTGCGGGTGAGGGCCGGGTCCCTGCGGCCTCACTGTCCCCACAGGTGAGGTCAGGGCTTTCACCTCTGGGCTGAGTCCTCACTCTAGCTGAGCTGCTCTGAATGGACATTCCTTGTCTGTTGTGTACTACGAGAGTGGGGTAGACCACATTGTCTCAGAACAGGCAAGATTGTGTGCCACAAACTCAGCAGAATTAGGAGTCAGAAATAGTGTAAGGGAGACCCATTGTCCGAAGTGGTGGAATTGCTTTATTTACTTGGTTAATGAAGGTGGCCTTGGGTGCTACTGGTCTTTAGAAGTTTTAGAAGCTGCTAAAAAATTATCCTATATAATAAAACCCTAATATGCAAATCGACCGAATGGCAGAATGACCGGTCGCTGTGATGTGCACTGACCACCAGGGGACAGACACTCCACGCAGGAGCTGCCCCCTACCCCCTAGAGGGAGGCGACCAGAGGCAGTCGTGACGATCGGGGGGTGGGGCAACCAGCTGCTGTGATGGGGGCGCCTGATCTGATGTTAGGATGGGGGAATATCTATAGGAGGGTATGCCCTTGAATTAGCAGAACCATAAAATTTAACCCTAATACTACCATTAGCTGGAGAGATTAGAATATTGAGGCTATAAATCTGCAGTTTATTCAGCTTGGTGGCACTAGCCTTTCTACTTTAATATTCCGGTTCAACCACAGCATTTGTAAGATCAAGGTGGTGGGGAGCAAATGCCCTTCCCGCTAGACGCAGGGACTTGAGTGCCAGCCTCATGTGCATCCCTAGGTTGCCGGCAGGCGCTACCGTGACCAGGGCCCGTAACCAGGGGATGGGCTGGTTGAGGAGTGGGCTCTTCCTCCCCATGCAGCCACCAGGGCCGTGAGCCACAAAGACCGGAAGTGCACCCCCGTGGCCTTCCGCTTGTGACTCCTCCCGAGGTCCCGTCCACCCTGCCCTGCGCTCACCAGCAGCTAATTGGTCCCCCCAACCTCCCACGGCCCCTCCCCCTGGCTGGCCCCACCCTCAATTGGGCCCCTCCACTCCAGACCCTGACATCTCCTGAGGGGTCCCAGATTGTGAGTGACTATGGCATCTACACTAATAAGAGAAACATGCAAATTGGTGTCACTCCGCTATGCCCACTAGCCAATCAGGATGAGTATGCAAATTAACCCAACAAAGATGGCAATTACTTTGCATATGCAGGCGCGGAGCGAAGACTGAAGACTGAAGATGACTGAAGACTGAAGAAGATTGAAGAGGCTTGGCTTCTCTGCTGCAGCCAGAGAGGAGAAGCCAAGCCTCGCCCGGGTGCCGGGAAACCGGTGCCGGCAGCCAGGGGAAGGAAGGCCTATTGCGCGAATCTTTGTGCAATGGGCCTCTAGTCTATATATATAAAGAGCCAGGGTCCGTAATGTCCAAAATAACCGAAGGGACGACCAAATGCCAGGCTGCATACACAGCAGGCTCGGGTGGGCAGGGACTGGTGAGCGGGCTGAACTGCTGACCTCTCGATCCCTCCCCCCTGCCTCCCGCGGACTGCCAAGGGGACTGTGGGCCCCCGGATGCCGTGGTGAGAGGGGGCTGTGGGCCCCAGCCGGGGCACGGTGGAACTCTGGGTCTCGAGCGATCGGGGGTGTGGCTGGCCTTCAAAGTGGACCCTGACAGGAGGGAGGAGGGAGCCCCATTCCTCACAGAATTGGCTGTTGGATAGCTTGCTGACAGCGGCCTGCCAGCCAGGAATCCCATTCACCTGCACCCCAGACCCTGGCGATCAGGCAGGCAGAGGCAGTTAGGGGCAATTAGGCCGGCAGGGGAGAGCAGTTAGGGACGAGATCGGGCCGGCAGGGGAGGGCAGTTTGGGGCAATCAGGTAGGCAGGCAGAAGCAGTTAGGGGTGATCAGGCAGGCAGGCAGAGAGGTTAGGGGCGATCAAGCAGGCAGGCAGGCAGGGGAGGGGTTAGGAGCCAGCGGTCCCAGATTGTGAGAGGGATGTCTGACTGCTAGTAGGATCGGGTCTAAACCGGCAGTCAGACCTCCCCCAAGGGGTCCCTGTTTGGAGAGGGTGCAGGCTGGGCTGAGGGAAACCCCCCCCCCTGCACAAATTTTGTGCACCGGGCCACTAGTCCTATATAGTAAAAGGCCAGGGGCCACAAGTGTAATGACTGGAATGACCGCTCAACCAGTCGCCATAAGGTGCATTGACCACCTCTTGGTCCCTCCCCCCCGCGAGCGGGGTCGCTGGCGGTGAGCAGTGGCAGGGCGGGACTGGAGACTGGCGAGCGGGCTGAATGGCTGACCTCTTGGTCCCTCCCCCCGGCCCGCAGGCTCTGATGGATCAGCGATGGTGAACAGGGGAACTGGGGTGTGTGGCGGGAGGACCAGGCTAGCTGTCAGGGCGTTGGGATCCCCAGCTCTTCCCCGGCTGCGACTTCACCTCCATGCGTGTGCACCGAGTCGGCCACTGATGGAACGTGCTGCCTGCTCCGGGCCGCTCATGCTGCCGCTGCTTCTGGGGCTTGCAGCGCTGACGAAAGCTGCGGGGCACGCCCACAACCTGCCTGCCCCAGTGGCGGAGGCGATGTTCGGCCTGGGGACTGGCAAACGGGCAGAAGATGGCCCTGATCACAGGCCAGGCCTAAGGAACCTACCCGTGCGATTTCGTGCACTGGGCCTCTAATAGCTTATAAACTGCTACATCCCACACACAGTTAAACAAGGAAGGTGGCTTCTGCAGTATTTGAAAAGAGATCTGTGGCTGCTTAATCCTAATTCATCAGAAGAACCTCCAAACTGCCCACATCCTGTTTATTCTACATGGGGATGAACATGCATTCCTGTATATTGGGAACAGTCTCTTAGATTTAAAAATCAAAACCTGGCAAGGCTCCTCTAACACTGAAGAAACAGAATGATGCAGTGATGACGTGCATGGACTCTGGCTTGCGTATTTTGTGGTCAGTCCTGATTCTGACACTTATAACTGTGTGACAGAGCCAATTAACTTCTCTCTGCTTCAGTTTTTCCACCCATAAGATGGGGAAAATTGTACTACTGCCTCAGAAGGATCTCGTTATGTACTACTTTTTATAATCAGGGCAAAAAAATACGTAGCTGCCCATACAACAGCAAGATGCCTTTCACCTGTATGAAAAGTATGGTCACTGGTGCATGCAGCATCCCAGATTGCGAGAGGGATGTCCAACTGCCGGTTTAGGCCCAACATCCCCCGAGGGGCCCCGGACTGTGAGAGGGCGCAGGCCGGGCTGAGGGATGGTGCCCCCTGCCTCCCTTGCACGAATTTTGTGCACTGGGCCTCTAGTTATTTATAAATTACCTAATTCTGATAGCAGGCCTCAGCATTTCTGGGGTAAAATAACAATGGTTTTAACAACTAATCAAATGGCTTCAGTGTTTTCCTTTTATTACTGTTTCGTAGCTTTCCAGTTATAATTGGTCTGTGTTTAGTATGCTAATTATTAGTAACTAGAGGCCCGGTGCACATGCACCAGTGGGGTCCCTGAGCCTAGCCTGCAGGGATCAGGCCAAAACCGGCTCTCCAACATCCCCCGAGGGGTTCCAGATTGCAAGAGGGCTCAGGTCAGGCCAAGGAACCCCACCAGTGCATGATTGGTGCCAGGGAGGGACTGCAGGAGGGCTCCAGGGCACATCCGGCCCATCTCACCCAATCCTGATCAGGGCCGATTGGGGCTGTCTCACCCTGTCCCGGTACTGGTCAGGGCCAGGAAGGGACTGCGGGAGCGCTCCAGGGCGTGTCCGGCCTGTCTCACCCAGTCCCGATTGGCTGGACCCCAGCAGCAAGCTAACCTAACGGTCAGAGCGTCTACCCCCTGGTGGTCAGTGTGGGTTATAGTGACTGGTCGAACGGTCGAACGCATGGTTGTACACTTAGCATATTAGGCTTTCTATATTATAAAAACCTAGTGGCCCTAACGCCATAACGACCAAAGATCAGTCACCAGGAGGCTGCGTGCATAGCCAGGCGCACGCGGGTGGGCGGGGACTTGACTGAGTCTTGCGGCACAGCAGGCCTCGGGGGAGTCCCGTGGTGTGGCAGGGTCTAGGGTCCTAGGTCTCGCACGATTTCGCATGCTAGGTCACTAGTTATTATGCACGGCACCAGCAGGGTCCCTTGGCCTGGTCTGCGGGGATCAGGCCAAAACCGGCTCTCCAATATCCCCCAAGGGGTCCCGGATTGTGAGAGGGTGCAGACCAGGCTGAGGGACCCCACTGGTGCACAATCGGGGCCGGGGAGGGACCATGGGAGGTTGGCCGGCCGGGGAGGGACCATGGGAGGGCTCCAGGGCGTGACCAGCCCGTCTCGCCCAGTCCCGTTCGGCCGGACCCC